TATATTTTTGCGTACATTATCTCATGTCATATGTCGAATGTCAAAATGCAAGGGGCCCCCAAAGAGGTCAATCCCCCAGGGCCCCCAAATCCCTAGTTGCGCCCCTCTACTCATTATATTTAATGTCAATTTCAGCAGAGGTAAAAAAAAAAAAAAAAAAAGCTCACGTGAAGTAAAATCCAATAAAAAAAAAAGGCGCGGGAAAAGGCCGATACAGAAGTAGGAGAAACGTAGAAAGCACGCGCATGACGTCAGCAATGTGCATAATCCTAACATCCTCATCGTGTTGAACAAGACAATATGTAAGCGGAATAGGTTTGGGTCACGAAAAAGAAAAAAAAAAAGGTGTCACTAGCGCAATTTGTTCTGATGTGCAGAAGGAAGAATCGCATTGGTGGAGACGCAAGAAGAGGTTATGGCAAACGTCTGTTGTGAAAATGGGATTACTTCTTGGATGAACTAAACATTGGTAATACAGCCTCTTAATAGGATTCAAAAGAAAAACGAATGTGGCGCTATTACAGTCTGTGTCTGTGTCTGTGAGTGCCCGTCATTTAGCTGTACAATTGGAATGTAGTAAATAGTCTCGGAAACTTAAAGGCTAATTTCTTTTTTTCACAGCACAGCTAATACAAAATAATTTTTGTCCCTTGAAAAAAAAAAGCACCTCGCGCCCCCCCCCCCCCCTTGTTGAGTAACTGACCTTTATTTATCTACATTATTTGCATTTGATTTCTTCCCTTTGTCATAATACAACGTAAAGAAAATTGTGACTTCGTAGAATAACACGACTCTAGACATATACAAATATATTTCTATTTGAGTTTATAAAAGATAGCTTGGACTACTTACCGTTGAATTAAAAGAAAGTGATTAATATTTACGAAACAATGGACTCTCACTATTGAGGGGCATTGTTGATCTATAAGATACATTTGTTTCTTGTCTTGTTGACCTTACATAGCCTCTTGTATGTTTCGTGTAGACTATGCTGTGTCATCCTCGCTTAGATTTCTCCGAAATGTCTGATGCAATGTTTGGCTAGCGATATCTATTTTTAAATGTTTTAAAAGTGTTTTGCGGATTGGGGAAATGTATTTTTAAATAGGACAGGTCACGGTTTATTCATATTAAAAATAGTAATGGATGTAGCCACGCACACAGTCAGACTGACGCAGACACACATTTGGACTGCTAGATACTCGTGAACTGCTGATCTGTGAACTCATGTTTAGCTCGCACATCGTGATGTCAACACAAACTCAGTCAAGTCCTGATAGACGCTGCTTGACGTGTTAGGTCTCTAACCCTCTCTGCGCGTGAGCATGCGTGCGTGTTTGTAATAGTCTGTGTGTGTTTGTGAGTGCCTGTGATTTAGCTGTATAATTGGAATGTAGTAAACAGTCTCGAAAACTTAAAGGCTAATTTCTTATTCCATATGCTAGAACAAGTGCCCTAGTATTATTACAGCAAGGAGTGGGTTGGCTGCAACAGCCAGGAAAACAAATGACTTAACAGAGTTTAAGTCATTAATTAACAAGTACGACTAGTTTGACACATGGATACGTGAAGGACATAATCATTTTCTCTTATGAAGGAACGTCTGTAATGTATAAGATAAGATAAGAAGATAAACATCCCCAAAGCGTTGGGTGAGGATAGTGGTCGAGAAGCGAACGTATTTTCATATTCCCAGTGTGTGTGTGTGTTTGCGCGCGCGCGCGTTATTTGTTAGAATTTTTTTAAGCTCATTTTTAATGCTTTTATTTGTGTCGCTTTGCCGAGACCAATCTATTTTTAAATGTTTTAAAAGTGTTTTGCGGATTGGGGAAATGTATTTGTAAATAGGACAGGTCACGGTTTATTCATATTAAAAATAGTAATGGATGAAGGCCTGAACACTGACCTGCAACGTCACAACCAGTGGCCAGTCTGTACGACGTGACAACGACTCTAAACTGCAACAGGCAGAAAATTCTTGAATTCATTGATGTAATGAACCAGCAATACTAAAATATTTTAATTTTTTAAGCACGCTATGGTGGTGAAGTTTGTCAAATGCCTTAGAGAAATCAAATAAAATAGTATCTATTTGCTCATTATTAGCTAAGCCTTTTGAAAAAATCATCAATTAGTCCTATTAGTTGTGTTTAATACGATCTATATTTCCTAATATAAGGCAGGAGAGCCGCTGGTCGCCCACTTTTACGTTATACGGATGTATGCAAACGCGGCATGAAGCTCTTCAAATTCGACACTGGCAGCTGGGAAGAGGTGGCACTGGATAGATCCACATGGAGAGAGAGAGCATAAAGGAAGGGTCACGGATTGCAGATGTCATACACAACAAAAAGCAGAAAGAAGTGTGAAAATGCAACGGCGCCTTGTGATTATATATGCCCAACCTGCGATTAAAGCTGTGTATCAAGGATTGGCCTTTTTAGTCATCAAGAAGTTGCAAAGGGGAAAGATCGTCTCTCGAGACGTACAATGCCACAGAAAGCCATGTTAGAATTGAGTGATGACATTATGTTTGTATACTCATTCCTACCACGATAGGCCTACTTCTCATTGGTTATGTCTAGATCTAGTGACTCTTCCTGCCCCTAGGCATCGTTCTGAGCGACTGCTTAGCACATGAGGATACCAGCCCGGTTCCATTAAGATGTGCCCTAATTGTTTGCCCATTTCAAAGCCTGGTTCTAGACGTACACTTATCACTAGCAGCCAGTTCCTCACTGACCTCAACCTACCCAGAAAAATCAGCATCACTAGGGCAACTCCGTTTTCTTACAACGTTAGAGCCGCCGACATCTACTTTAAGCCTCTTAGCCCAACTACTTGCACAACTACTTGCCCAACTACCCGCCCCAACTACTTGTCCAACTACCTGCCCTAACTACCTGCCCTAAGTACTTGTCCAACTACCTGCCCTAATTACTTGTCCAACTACCTGCCCTAACTACCTGCCCTAAGTACTTGTCCAACTACCTGCCCAACTACCTGCCCCAACTATCTGCCGCAACCTACTTGTCCCAACTAATTGCCCCAACAACTTGCCCAACTACCTGCCCCAACCTACTTGCCCCAACAACTCGCCCAACTACCTACCCCAAATTACTTGTCTCAACTAATTGCCCCAACAACTTGCCCAACTACCTGCCCCAACCTACTTGTCCAACTACTTGCCCGACTACCTGCCCCAACGACTTGTCCAACTAATTGCCCCAACCTACTTGTCAAACTACTTGCCCAACTACCTGCCCCAACCTACTTGTTTAACTACTTGCCCGACTACCTGCCCCAACCTACTTGCCCAACTACCAGCCCCAACCTACTTGTCCAACTACCTGTCCCAACCTACTTGCCCTACCTACTTGTCCAACTACCTGTCCCAACCTACTTTCCCAACTACCTGCCCCAACCTACTTGCCCAACTACCTGCCCCAACCTACTCGCCCAACTACCTGTCCCAACCTACCCCAACCTACGTGCCCAACAACCTGCCCCAACTACTTGCACAAGTACCTGCTCCAACCTACTTTCCCAACTACCTGCCCCAACCTACTTGCCCAACTACCTGCCCCAACCTACTTGCCCCAACCTACTTGTCCAACTACTTGCCCAACTACCTGCCCCAACCTACTTGCCCCAACCTACTGGTCCAACTACTTGCCCAACTACTTGTCCAACTACCTGCCCCAACCTACTTGTCCAACTACTTGCCCCAACCTACTTGTCCTACCACTTGCCCCAACCTACTTGCCCAACTACCTGCCCCAACTACTTGCACAAGTACCTGCTCCAACCTACTTTCCCAACTACCTGCCCCAACCTACTTGCCCAACTACCTGCCCCAACCTACTTGCCCCAACCTACTTGTCCAACTACTTGCCCAACTACCTGCCCCAACCTACTTGCCCAACTACTTGCCCCAACCTACTGGTCCAACTACTTGCCCAACTACTTGTCCAACTACCAGCCCCAACCTACTTGTCCAACTACCTGTCCCAACCTACTTGCCCTACCTACTTGTCCAACTACCTGTCCCAACCTACTTTCCCAACTACCTGCCCCAACCTACTTGCCCAACTACCTGCCCCAACCTACTCGCCCAACTACCTGTCCCAACCTACCCCAACCTACGTGCCCAACAACCTGCCCCAACTACTTGCACAAGTACCTGCTCCAACCTACTTTCCCAACTACCTGCCCCAACCTACTTGCCCAACTACCTGCCCCAACCTACTTGCCCCAACCTACTTGTCCAACTACTTGCCCAACTACCTGCCCCAACCTACTTGCCCCAACCTACTGGTCCAACTACTTGCCCAACTACTTGTCCAACTACCTGCCCCAACCTACTTGTCCAACTACTTGCCCCAACCTACTTGTCCTACCACTTGCCCCAACCTACTTGCCCAACTACCTGCCCCAACTACTTGCACAAGTACCTGCTCCAACCTACTTTCCCAACTACCTGCCCCAACCTACTTGCCCAACTACCTGCCCCAACCTACTTGCCCCAACCTACTTGTCCAACTACTTGCCCAACTACCTGCCCCAACCTACTTGCCCAACTACTTGCCCCAACCTACTGGTCCAACTACTTGCCCAACTACTTGTCCAACTACCTGCCCCAACCTACTTGTCCAACTACTTGCCCCAACCTACTTGTCCTACCACTTGCCCCAACCTACTTGCCCAACTACCTGCCCCAACCTACTTGCCCAACTACTTGCCCAACTACCTGCCCCAACCTACTTGCCAAACTACTCGCCCAACTACCTGCACAACTACAGATATCTCCACAGAAACTATTCCGTTTAAAGAGCAGTAGGGGGGATAACTGACAGGACATTACAAATATTAGAGTTTAGAATATTTAAAAAACGCGCGATGACAACCAAACTTTAGAGACAGCTTTCTATTTCCTGTACAGTTGCTGTTACGTTATTTGTTAGTTAGCGGTCTGTCCGCCTTAGTTTGGTTGGACGAGCGGTAATAACCTTTAACACTCCGACACTAACAACTGACTGATAAAATATAACAATGGCACGTCACAGTCCGAACCTTTTAACCATTTTAATATCACTCTTTCCCACTTACGAAAACAAAAAGTTTCTAACAAATTTGTGACACATAGTAGATCTGGTACATTCATTTGAAGTGCACTGAGATAAGTCAATTTTTTTTAGACCCTCTCTCTCATTTTTCATGAATCAAAAATACATCTTATCCATTAACATTGTTGTTTTAAAAAGCTTTGATTTAAATTAAATAAGTGAAACAATTAGAAATGTATTGCAACTACTGATCAGAGAAGAGTAGGGTGTTGTGGCCGAGTGTTAAGCGCTTTGATTCGAGCCGAGTGTCTTTGTGGAAACAGACTTTAGGCTTTGTGATTTTCTGGAGTCCACATTGATGGCTACTTGATATTAGTAAAAGAAAAGTTTACAGTGTTGATGACTTTGCTTTGTGAAGTGTGGACTTCAGTTTTATATTACAAGCTAATAGATTTTTTTGTTACTTTTTGTAGGCACCTTAAACAAAAGGGTGGGGAGGGAGATGAAGTGATACTATAAATTCTCATATTAGTTTTTATGGCATAAAAAGTTCCGACAGAAACAACGAAACAAAACATTTCTGATGTGTGAACTGAGCTAGCAGGTTAGTGTGACCTCACTTAAGGTCATTCAGACCCTCCTACATTTTCTTCTCGCTAAACATTTGTTTGTCTCTACGTTAACTTAAATGTGTAGTTTGATGTATCTTTCTGTTTCATCTTTCTTGCTTATCAGACGTAAACACATAGTAGTATCAGCTAGGTATCTTTGAGCTCACGAACTTTTTATATAACAAACAATAATTTTTTGTTGAATTTTTTCTGGACTTCGAGTTGATCGAAGTATTACAGTAAAAAGTATTTTCTTGCTTAGCTTTCACTTCTTCTTATCTTATAATTTACAGGCGTTACTCAAAAAGAAATGTAAGGAGTAAGACCCCAATGTGTCAATGTGTCACGTTAATTAAAGCCTTAAATTTATTACAAATTATAATTTTACGTCATAAGTTTTACTGGCTTAGTCAAGCAGGAGTGGTTATGGGTAAATAGTTTCTGACATGAATTGGTCCTAGTATAAGGAACAAGATAGTGTAATTATTTCATTTTTTCTTTACAACTTATTCGGTTAGGTTGTATTATTACAGACATTTTTTTTATGTGCGATAAAGTTTCTCACATAAGTACATTAGGAACATTACATCCTTAACCTAATTTATATACTAGATATCTAACGCATATACTAGATATCTAACGTATCTCTTCTCAAGACACGTGAATGTCATTGTGGGTACAGCGAGCAAAACTAAAATGGTTTTAATGTAGTTCTGTATTTACACAATGGTCGAAAATAAGTTTAAAATATATAGAGAAAAAAAGCCAGAGAGACTATTAGGTTCCACAACAATGGCTTATTTCAAATCACTAACTAGACAACAATAGATTGAAAGATCTTACCGGAAAAAGAAAAAGAAATCAGAAAGTGTTTCCGAGACGTAAGTCCGAGAGCAAGAATCAAGTGAATGAAATAAAATGCTGAAAATATATGGGTCAAGGCGTCACCACTTTTTTTTTCTTCTGACACCAAAAAAAAAAAATGGGTGGAGGAATGAAACGGAAATATGCTGGCACAAATTTTGAGAACTAACCCCCATCCGCAAACACGCTCACCTTTTCTAAAGTCACTTCGTCTCGTGATATACCCCCTCACAGACCCCACCCTCTGTGTTTCTCTTCACGTTACGTAAGTTGTACTTAGATTACACCAAGAACTAGGACGGGAGATGAACTCTTTAGTTTTCGTTAAGTGTAGGAATTCTTGGGATGTGAATGTTTAATAGTTCTGACCAACCAATTGCATGTCATTAATCCTTTATAAACAGTTAAGATTAGAACAAGATATATAATCCTAATTGGTTTACATCACATAAATTATATAAAGTGCACGGTACTAAAAGGGTTAAAGCAACTTTTTTGAACAAACAAAATCAAACCAACTGTTTAGTACTTATAGGTTTAGGCTAAACATACTCTATGGCACTAATAGGATTATACTAACTGTAGCATAGTTTCTAGAGGATTATATAAACAACTGTATGGTACTAATAGAATTTTACCAACTTTCATAAAATGTTTATATTAACTCAAATTGTCTGTCTGTCTGTCTGTCTGGGAGAACTCTTGTACATGTTATTCTCCCACTTCCCATTCTTGGATCAAGAATCTTGGATTTTCATTGTCGATAGCAATCAAAATTTAAAAAAAAAATTCTTTTTTGAAAAAGCTGATAACTGTATCATAAGAGTGAATATTTTACTCTTAATAAATGAGTTAATAACCAGTGAAGGATAGCTTTAAACAAAGACAGAACCATTTTTTTTAACCCACCTCAATTCCTCATACCCACGAAAAAACAACAACACCAGGTTATGCGTATGTATAAATTTGCTCACAGTCAGAGTACACAAAATTCTAATGATAGGCCTATGGATCTACACCAGTGTTTCACAAAATGGTCGATATAGATTCTCAGAAGTCTACAACGACAGCCAATGGATCTACGATAGTGAAAAAATGAATTGTTGGTCTATGAAATGTCAATGGGGGTCTGCGATAATGAATCTCATTTAAGCATTTTACATTTCATTTCCCGTTAATTCCATTATTGGGAAATGAAATTTACTTATACACACATATGATTAGTTTGTGTCTACATCAAGCTAATATCAGACATGGCCGAAGATAAAAAGAAACCTAGAGAGTGCAGTGTTCATTATCTGACAATTGGCTTCACTCCTTCTGGAAGAGACGGATGTAAGTACAAACGAAGCGTTTAAAGTACAATTTAAAAATGATATAAGCTCCTCTTCCTTCAAAATAGTATACCTGATAATAATAACAATAATAATATAATAATCTTTATTGTCCGTAAGGAAATTTGTCTTAGAATTGGTGCATTACACCAAACAAAACATTGTAACTATAAAAAAACAAAATGTACATTGACACCAGACTCAATCATAATTTACATGTGAAAAGTTCATATTAGATTGTTTCTATGTAATGATTTGATTGCCGGGGAACACAAGTGTGTTTGTATCTGTTGGTCTTTGCTATCGGTGTCTTGTGATGGTAAAATCACAAAATAGTTATCAGATATTATGAAATATCACCAGAAAGTTTCTTATTCTTTTTCCATCTTCATATCTAGTGAAAAAAATGTTTCGGCAAGGTTGTCAACATTCTAATAAAAAAAATGGTCATCACTAACCAAGTAGTTTTAATATTAAACCTAACTAAATAGAAGCCTATTATTTTGTACATATTGTCAAATCAGCCCACTAATAGATGTCCTTTTTTTAATTTTTAGTGATTCCATGTAGGTCTAATATATATTAAATGTTATTTTGTTTCGTTTCAATTTGAATTTCATCAATAAGCCATAGGAGCTTGTTCTATCTTAACATAGCCATAGGATCTTGTTCTATCTTAACATAGCCATAGGATCTTGTTCTATCTTAACATAGCCATAGGAGCTTGCTCTATCTTAACATAGCCATAGGAGCTAGTTCTATCTTAACATAGCCATAGGAGCTTGTTCTATCTTAACATAGCCATAGGAGCTTGTTCTATCTTAACATACCAATAACAGACGCTCCCCCAAAAGAGCAGATAATTACGTCTAAAGCGTATGTTCATCTAGTCGAGCATGTCAATTAGACTTAGCATCTGCTAAGTCATTGGCTTAGTCGCTACCCTATAGTTAAGCCACTCCATTGAGACAATGATGTAGATAAACTTGGTTCTGGTTTATTTGATGACTGATCCCTTAAAACTTAAAACCTCGAAGGATGTTCTGAGTAACAACCTAAGACCCCAGACATCAGTATGGAAGGATAGCGTTCCGATTAGTGAATAGTCCTTTAGTATCATATCATGTACTTTAATTTTAGCATGGCGGAAAGCATTTCTCATGGCTCCACTCAGAGAAAACGGCCCAAGAAAAGGTCAGCCTGAAGTAAACAGCTCTACGTTGATTGAAAGTCCATGTGAAATGCCGGGCAATAAAAAAAAATTGCATTTAAAGTCAAAATTTAGACTTTTTTTTTTTTTTAAATCATTTGCAAATTGTAAACATTGCTATAAAATATTTATGAACAAAATGAAATTAATGCAATTATAGAGCTACACAGACATGCTGCACTTATTGCTAGAACTGGTTTCATTGAATTGAAAAAGTGAATTGCTCGGCTTGAGATGCAATGAAATGTAAGTGAGAACAAGTGGAAATCTTACCCGCATGAGTTCGCAACGGTTAGGTGTGCCCCCCTTTTTTTTAACCTCCCATGAACTTGTGTCTCGTGACTGCATCACGCGCAAAGAAATGTCATGCTTTTTTTTATTTTTATCTGCAATAAATTACCTTCGTATTTTTAGACAACATGTTTACCTCTGAAGTTTGCTCGCACTGTACAGTGATAAATGACATTATTTAAAACTTGTCAAGTGTCAATATGAGTTTACAAGCTATCCTATTTAATAATTATTTACAAGTTGTGTTAATAATAGGGTGCAGGCGAAGGGTAGGGCGCTGCTTAACTTTCACCTATCCCTTAGGCGTAGCCGCTAGGGCACCACAAATGATTAAGTCTACTGGTGTCAATAACTAGGAAACCCTATTTGTTTCTCAGTCAAACATGTTTTCACACCAATTCTTACTGTCTCTCACTCAATCTCATACTTATTCTCTCTCTCTCTCTCTCTGTGTCTCTCTCCTGGTCTCGTTGGTAATGTTCTCATGTAAAAGCTTTTTCCTGTAAAAGAATCTGGATGTAGACAAGACATTTGTTTAAATTCAAGATTTTACACGAGCTGACCAGCCGCACAGAAATTCCTCTCCTCCCCCCCCCCCCCCGCTCCCCCACGGACAAAGAGATTGAATCAGAGCACATTGACATACGCGCTATATTAAACAATAATAATAGAAATAATAAGCGTGAAGCGGCTGTGCAATAAAATTGCAATCTTCACACTTGTGATGTCAGCCTTGATGGCCTGCCTGGTCGTTCGGTATGAGCGATGGACAGTCGTTCGGTCGTGGTCCCGTGTTCATACTCTGCCGCTGCCATCCCCCGTCTCACGTGTAAGATGCTTGGACTCTTAAGGAACATTCGAAACATGAAGAACGTTTTATAAAGAAACAT